CTATGAAGAGAGAGAACGCTAACCTTGCTTGAGGCGTGGAGGACAGGAAGGCGGGTGGGGAGGCGGTTATTGTTTGGAGGGAGAATCCCCCTCGCTACAGGAAGCTATGACCACTTGTGTCAGCAGGGAAAATGGCCGCGGGTCGTGTTCGTCACCCGATGCGGAGTTCGCGAACGGAAGCAAAATTTTGCAAACGGTGCTGTTCGTGACCCGAATTGGTTGTGAACAGAAGCGTTCGTGACCCGAGGTACCATTGTAATCCAGGAACCAGGGTTCATTCAGTAAGGTAGCGGGAAGAATCAGTTAAAGTAACACAGGTCAAGAAGTGGGAGAATTATTTCCAACAAAGTGGAAAGGAGATCTGAGAGATGCTCTTATATGTGTTCTTATAGCACTTACCCTATGGAATATCATCCCCCCTAAGTTATCTAGCCCCCATTCTGACAGTATTTAAAAGAGGCCTGAAACCTGGCTCTTCCTCCAGGCCCTGGATTACTGTCACTGGCAGGTCCTGTATATTTTACTGTTCAGAATGTTTTGGGAAACCCCGATGGGGTTTACCTGTATTTTACTTATTGTTTTTATTGTACACTGCCCATAGAATTGAGTGGCCTTATAAATTGAATTAGCTAATTCATTAATTGTAGTAGAAATTCATGACCTTGACTAATCAGAGGATATGACACCCTCTCCCCTTAAGGAGTTGTACAGGTTTCCATTGCTGAGCCCTCTTTAGTTGGCTTGACACACACTCAACATTTGGATCTGAGTTACACCCCAACTGTGCTGACCCTCAATCATTATTCCTGGGAGCTATCTCAGCTATTGATTCCTCACTCACAACTGCTGGGTTCTCTTCTTGAGCCTCAGAGTCCAAGGAGTCTACAAGAGGCCCAGGGCAAAATGGAAATTTGGATTCCTGGATCAGTGAATTTTGCACACTCCTAGTTATGAGATGTTCTTAGTTCACTTATGCAGGATTAGAGCAGTTGTTTCTTTCAGCAGATACTTGCAGGGTTTCTACTTAAAATAAAGGTAGTGAAAAGTATGAATAACCCACTTCCACTCTATCATAACTCCCAGGAATAATGATTGAGGGTCAGCACAATTGGGGTCTAACTAAGATCCAAATGTTGAGTGTGTGTCAAGTCTATCAATTGTTACCTTTCCATGTTCCAGCCCTTTAGACATTGGCTTTGCACATAATGATAAGCCATATTGTGATGTGCTTTGTGTGCAAACTAGACCATTATAACTTACTTAACAACCATGATGTTTTAAAAAACTTGGCTTTGTGTTACATGTGAGCACAACCATTGTCTAGATCTCCCTAGGTACATACAGGTGAAACTTGAAAAATTAGAATATCGTGCAAATGTTCATTTATGTCAGTATGGCAACTCAAAAGGTGAAACCAATATATGAGATGATTATGGCGTACAGCTTATGAAAACCCCAAATTCACAATCTCAGAAAATTAGAATATTACATGACATCAATAACACAAGGATTGGAAATAGAACAATATCGGACCTCTGCAAAGTATAAGCGAAAACCCCAAATTCACAATCTCAGAAAATTAGAATATTACATGACATCAATAACACAAGGATTGGAAATAGAACAATATCGGACCTCTGCAAAGTATAAGCGAAAACCCCAAATTCACAATCTCAGAAAATTAGAATATTACATGACATCAATAACACAAGGATTGGAAATAGAACAATATCGGACCTCTGCAAAGTATAAGCGAAAACCCCAAATTCACAATCTCAGAAAATTAGAATATTACATGACATCAATAACACAAGGATTGGAAATAGAACAATATCGGACCTCTGCAAAGTATAAGCGAAAACCCCAAATTCACAATCTCAGAAAATTAGAATATTACATGACATCAATAACACAAGGATTGGAAATAGAACAATATCGGACCTCTGCAAAGTATAAGCGAAAACCCCAAATTCACAATCTCAGAAAATTAGAATATTACATGACATCAATAACACAAGGATTGGAAATAGAACAATATCGGACCTCTGCAAAGTATAAGCGAAAACCCCAAATTCACAATCTCAGAAAATTAGAATATTACATGACATCAATAACACAAGGATTGGAAATAGAACAATATCGGACCTCTGCAAAGTATAAGCGAAAACCCCAAATTCACAATCTCAGAAAATTAGAATATTACATGACATCAATAACACAAGGATTGGAAATAGAACAATATCGGACCTCTGCAAAGTATAAGCGAAAACCCCAAATTCACAATCTCAGAAAATTAGAATATTACATGACATCAATAACACAAGGATTGGAAATAGAACAATATCGGACCTCTGCAAAGTATAAGCGTCATATATTGGTTTCACCTTTTGAGTTGCCATACTGACATAAATGAACATTTGCACGATATTCTAATTTTTTGAGTTTCACCTGTATATCTTAGGGTGTCTTAGATTATAGGGGGATCTCACTCCAAAGTTCGATGAAATCTGAAGTTAACTGTTTTCTTTCACATTATAAACTGCATTTCATTATGAGCTCTAAGTACCTGTTGTTATATAAGCATGGGAGCCTAATAAATAGCCAGAAAGAAGTGACAATTTTATATATGTGAAATTATGTATGAAAAGTAATTTTTACTGCTTCTTGCACTGTTTTGTTTAAAATGTGTTTCCTTTAGCTTATGCTGTAGTATTTATAAGGTCTACTATTCTGTTTTCAACCAGAGGGAACTTTTTGCTGAATTGCCAAAAGAGGAATATACAGTGGAAAAAGAAACACGAATTCCAATAAATGATGGTAAGAATTTTTAGAACCTGAAACAGGTTAACATGAGAACTTTATGGTTCATTTGGGAAAGATGGTCTTTTTTTTAAGTTCCTTTGAAGGTATATTGATACAAACATTATCTGATCCTTTATTTTTCAGGTGTAACTCTAAAATGTGGTTAAATGTAGAGAAGTATGGATTGAAGCCCTTGACACTACCCCCCCCCCCCCAAGATCCCTTCATTCATTCTCATTTATTCTCAGGGGATGTATGTAAACCTGTAGCTTCAACTTTTTATCTGAACTGACACTTCATTGGC